ATATTTATGTTTTAAAAATTAAATTGCTTGAATTTAAATTTTATAGAAGATGTAGAGAGTATGACTGGTGAGATTGAAAATGGAGATTTGGCAATCCGAGATGTTGCAGACCTCCTTCAATCACAGTGTGCTATTATAACAGGTAAGGTAAAATTCAATGGATACTATTAAAAAATACTACTTGATTATTGATTTCTGTTTTTTTTTTCTTAAATAATACTTTATATGTATATGGATATGTAGGTGGAAAAACTCGAGAAGGATGTCCTATTATTACTTTTTCTGACAATGGAAATTTTTACAATTTATCAGACTTGGATTATCAACGTCTCATGCTGTATCTTACTTCTGTGCCAACGTGAGATTTCAGTTTTTACGTTGTTATTAATATCTACATAGTTCAGGAAAGTTACAAAAAGATTCTCCAATTCTGTTTAGATTACAAGAAGCTGATCTTGGATTTCACTTAATAATTGATAGAAGAAATGATAAATGGAACTCTGTAAAAACTGTATTACTAAAAATCTCTGTAAGTATATATATACGCGCGCGCGCGTGTGTGTGTGTGTGTGTGTGTGTAAAAATATAATAATATATATAAATATTAGCATATGTTTTACGTCCAGCTGGACTTTTACAGAAAGCCCTTTCAGAAGTGTCAAATAAATTTTTTAGGGAAGACTTCAAATTTAGAGTTATATTTTTAGCAAATATTGCTGATCTTCATGAATTTATAGATAAAGATCAGCTAACTGAGCAACTAGGTGGTACTTTGCCATACTGTCATCACACTTGGATACAAAACAGAATTGTAAGTAGAATAGTAAAAATAATTAAAAGAGCAACTTCAATTGAATTTAAAGTTTAATTATATATTTTTTAGAGTTTAGAAAAATTTTCGTCAATGACTCAAGACGTATCTCTTGCATTGGATTCTTTCACACGGCGTTTAGCCCAAATTGAATTTCCTAACAACACTGTTGCAACTACATCCTTATTATCTCAACAGCAAGTTGAATATAATGAATTAAAAGAAGAAATTCTTAGTGCTGCAAGACATGGTGAAGCACTATTGGATAGTGTAAGGCAATTAACTGGCAAGGGAACAGCTGACAGATTAGGAAATGTTGCTGCAATAGAAAGGTACAAAAAAATTTTAATTTCGTATATTGGAAAATTGTGATTACTTTCGCATAATTAAATATATCGTTCGCAAATTTTTATTTGTTTCTAGATTACTTGTTCAACTAGAAGAAACAGAACGTACTTTTGACTTATTTTGGTCACATCATAGTTCTCGTTTGAGACACTGCTTAGCATTAAGACAATTTGAAGCTGATTTTAGAGAGTTACAAGCAACATTGGACCAACATTTAAAAACTATAGAAGAAATGACGGAAGTGGGAGAAACTGAAGCAAGGGTCGAACAGTTACTTTGTGACACGTCGGCCTTTCAAAGAATATGTAGAGTATGTACTTCTATTTTATATATACATTTTACTTTCTACTGTTAAACAGACACACATGTTCTAAATTCTGAAGCAAAGCAATAAAAATAAATAAAAATAACGTTTCTGTCTAAATAGACATACTTACCAATATAAGATAATTATATATTTAGTAAATGTTAAAATATTTTTACACATAAAATAATTATTTCTATCATTCTCAACTATACATACCTAATGATATTATATG